TTGGCGTTTGTTGACGACAGGATTGACACTTCGTTTGGATCTGGAGGAACCATTACTTGAAGAATCCGACATAGCAGACTTGAAAGCGTTGTTGAGAGATCTTAGCATATATGATATTTATATAGTTGGACTGGAAAAAACGAGGAACACAAAAGGAGCAAAACAAGGAAATTTATTGATTTGGCAAAGTCATGTGGAGGGGAGGAACGCGGAACAAAGAATGTCGAGAAAAAAGGCAAACGCTCGTTGAGGACGCGTACGTGACTCCCAAAAGTACTGATACATTTTTTTTGGGATTGCTGCTGTTTGATGAGATTAACAAGAAAAATAAGAGTCTGAACATAGCAGATTTTGAAAGCCGATGTCGAGGGGAGTTGTATTTATTGTAAAATTCACGTCATTGATGGCCGACAAATTCTAGCTTACAAAAGAAAGAAGAAAGAAAACCAGTGCAGACTTAAAACTAGCCCAGCAAATCCAGAAAGACAAATTGAATGTAGAACGAAAAACTCAGACACCAACAATCAATGGGTAAATCATCTGAACGTAAAAAAGACCTGGGGAAAACATAATAACTCCTATAAAAACAAGTCAGGCGTCGTAAATATAATACCGCAGACAACACAAAAAAACAAAGATGCATTAAGAAATGGAGTGGTAGCGTAAACAAAAAACAGGTGACAAACTGATCATTTTGGCAACACTAAACCTCAGAACTGTTCCCTTTAACTCGCCCCTCAAACTTCGGAATTTTAACTAAAACCACCGTCGTTGCCCAAATAAAACTAACAGAAGGTTCATTCCCATAAGCCGTAAACATAGTCTGATAATCAAATCTATGCGGCTTTTCACCCAAACATACAACCTCCTATCCATTTCCACAAACCAAACCCAAACTATAAGGAACACCGAAATCATTTCTTTCCACACCCTCACGAAAGTCCTCATGTACCTTAAATGAAATACCCCACTTTCCAATGTGAAGGTAATCAAGGTCAGTTTGGTGAGAGCCGGTCCAGATTGTTTGATTTTTCGGTGGATCCGTCGCCTTAAGATATCCCCACCGTTGACGATGGAACACTGGTACGATTTCAGTGTTCCAACCGAGATACTTTGCTGCGTTCAGGAATGCAAGGTCACGACCTAGAAGTCGACTTGGTGGTTCCTGTGGGTTAACCGTTCTTGCACCTTTAATGTTGGTGGAATATTTGTGTTGACAAAAGTATCTTAGCGTACATCCGTCTGGTGCAAAGTCAGGTTCGTTGTTGAGATTGGCTAAAATTGTTTGAATGACAGAGGTTGTTGAATCCATCTTGAGACTTGATGCTTGGGCTACTGTTGTGTTTGGCACGTCAGCGTAAAGACCATCCACTTTCTCGTCCACATGATAAAGGTTATACGTCAACGTGACCCTATATCCCTCTTTAACTTCCAACACCTCATGTTCAACAGAGCCTAAAAACGCAACCCACTTCAAAACAGCCTCAGGTTCATCAGTTGACCAATCAACCACTTTTTCAACACCCGTCTCCCGTTCCCTCAAAACGAGTTCCCCACCCTTCAATCTTGTGGGCAAACAAACCACCAAAGATCCAATTGACTAATACCTCGTGGAGTATCGAGATGAGATTTGAAGAAACCACCAGGTCCATAGACATTCAGCTTGTCCAACACAGATTTGACATTGATGCAGTTTTGAACATCCTCACAAAGAAATCGTGAAAGAGTATTTAAAATATCGGTTGAGCCTGGGTGAAACTGAGCGGCGATTTCTGATGCCGAGAGTTTGATTGCCTGACAGTATGTCGGATCAAGGATTTCCTTTTATGTCGGATCAAGGATTTCCTTTGGACCCCTGCCAAAGGTTGCTGCTGAACCTGCTTTGATCAATGATTGCATAGCTTCAGTTTCGAGAGGTTTGTTTGGAAAAGGGAAACGAAGAAAGGTACTGGGACCCTTGTGTGAATGGTTGGGGCTGATAGTAGATGGACCAGTTGAGTCTTTGGTCATTTGGATCTTTGTTGGTGTGGAAGATCAACAATGGAGCAGTCTCCTGTGGTGAGGTTTGACTATAGTCAATTGTTCCACCACAAAACTTGTTTAGAGTACCACCTCGAACAACACTTTCAAGTTGCTGGAGAAGGGTCTTGGCGTTGTTCGAGGATCGGATCGACCTCTCTTTGGGCACCGACGTTGTTTGTAGCTGCAGACATGATACTAGTACTGTGATATTGATGGATAGTTCTTCTGAAGATGGTGAACCGAAATCTAAACATTAATTGAAATGGGCAAAAGTGAAATAATAAAAGGGGAATCTGGGCAAAGTCAAGGCTTGGCCTCTTGACTTTGCCCTCCGAATTTACAAACAATTTTTTGCAAACTGAGTTTTGATAAATTACGCAGAAATACAAGACCTGCTTATCAACGTTTTTACGATATATCACCGTAGTACAGTACATAGCATGTGTAAAGCGCTTTCAATTGGTTTCCATTCCAAGACTGTTTGCGTTCATTTTTAATTCTGAAGTCTACATTATTGGATGAAAAACACGTACCAACAAAAAAAACTTCGAAGAACTAAGCAGAGTTCAGTGAGAACGATGAGTTTGATAGTCCAGAAAAACATTCATCATACACTGAGCTAAAAAAGACATAGTAAAGACAAGTGTAATCTGTTGTACAGTCGTTTGCCAGTGTTGGTACGGTGTTCAAGAGAACAAGAAAAACAAAACAATTGCGATGATTTTATTGAATATCAGAAGACATCAACAGCAATGGGCAGATAAGGTGACAAAGAACAAAAAAAAATTGGAAAAAGACAAAGAAGAACCAACTGAAAACATTCAGACAAGTGGGTAAAAACATAAAGTTGGTTGTAGTTCGAAAAAGCGAGAAAAACAAACAATAAAGGAAAGAAAGAAAACTCAGATGCCAAGTGATAAGGGCGAGTGACTTGAGTACAATGCAATAAGAAGGAATAAAGAGACAGCGAGTAAAAAGATAATGACACCTAACAAAACACACGAAGTGTTGGAAGGACAAAGAGATTTCCAACAGAGGATCATGCGAGCAAAAAACAAACACTCACACCGACATAGTGTTCATTAAAGGAAAGACACAACCGTTTTTTTACCGATTTACAACACTAAACATTATGCCTGTTACCTCTTTCCTCAAGCTTTGGTACCTTAACCAAAACCACCGTCGTAGCCCAAACATAGTCAATAGAAGGTTCATTTCCATAAGCAAGTATAATAGTGTTGTAATCAAATCTGTGCGGCTTGGTACCCAACCACACAACCTCCTTTTTACTTCCACAAACTATATCCATCTCATCAGGAACACCAAGATAATTCTTATTGTCATCCAAGTACCCAAAGTCAACAAATGAAGTACCCCACTTTCCAATATGAAGGTAGTTGATATCAGTTTGGTGAGAGCCAGTCCAGATTGTTTGGTTTTTAGGTGTTTCTGACGTTGAATCCTTTTCCTCTTCTCCCCAGGGTTCACGATCAAAAACTGGTACGATTTCAGTTGTCCAACTGAGTGATTTTGCTGCGTTTAGAAATGCAAGGTCGCGACCTAAAAGATGACGTGGTGGTTCGTCCGGGTTAACAGTTGTTGAACCTTTGATGTTTGTTGAATATTGGTGTTGACAGAAATATCCCAAAGTGCAACCGTCTGGCGCGAAATCAGGATCGTTGTTGAGTTTGGATAAAATGGTTTGAATAACTGAGGTTGTAGAATCCATCTTGATACTCGGTACTGCCACTACGTCTGTTGTGTTTGGCGCATTATGGGTCTCCAAAGTTTCAGCGTCACTATCGTCAACATGATAAAGGTTATATGTCAATGTGACCCTGTAACCCTCCTTAACTTTCAAAACTTCATGTTGAACCGACCCCAAAAACGCAACCCATTTCAACACGGCATCAGGTTCATCAGTAGACCAATCCACCACTTTTTCAACACCTGTCTCTGGTTCCCTCAAGACAAGTTCCCCGCCCTTCAAACTTGTTGGCAAGCAAACAACCAAGGAACCAAAGTGACCAACACCTCGTGGAGTATCAACATGACTTTGGAAGAAACCACCGGGACCATAAACATTAAGCTTGTCAAGCACAGCTTTGACATTGAAGCAGTTCCTAACATCCTCACAAAGAAACCTGGAAAGAGTATTTAAAATATTGGTTGATCCAGGATGAAATTGAGTCGCGATGTCGGAAGCAGAAAGTTTGATTGCTTGACGGTATGTTGGGTCAAGGATTTCCTTCTGACCCCTGCCAAAGGTTGCTGCCGATCCCGCTTTTATCAATGATTCCATAGCTTCAGTTTCAAGAGTTTTTTCGGGAATCGGGAAACGAATAAAGTTGCTGATACCGGTGTATGATCCCTTTGCATTGATGGGAGATGAGTCAGTCGAGTTGTTTACGTTTGAACCCTTGTGGGTGTAGTAGGAGATCAACAGAGGAGGTATCTCCTTTGGTGAAGTTGACCTGAAATCGATCGATCCACCACAAAACTTGTTCAGATCCTTGCCCCGAACAACACTTTCAAGTTGCTTCAGAAGGTCCAGTTGGCGTTGCTCGACGACAGGATTGATGATTCTTTGTGCTGACATAGCCTGTTGGGTGTGTGTGGTGGTATAGTCTTGGGCAAAGTTGTGAAAGTAGTCCGTTGGAGGAGAAAAACAGTAACAAAGACAAAAAGAAAAAAGGAAAAAGGACCAAGTTAAATAATTATATTCACAAAAATGAAAGCAAATTTTTGGTAAAGTCACGCCTCTCGTCGTCTGTTATGTGTTAATTATATTTAATAGGACAAAGTGCTATGAATGCACCACCAAAAAATACATCCGCATCTTTGTGGAGTTTTTCTTCCAGTGCTGCTTTCTGGTTTTGAACAACTGAGTTTCGAGCTGGAAGAAGAAAAAAAAAGAAAAACCATCATTCGCAAAGACTGGTTTGCAAAAACAGAAAAATGGGGTGGACGAAAAAAAGTGGAGGCACGGGGGATTGAACCCCGGGCTTCAAGCATGCGAAGCTTGCACTCTACCACTGAGTTATACCCCCGGACGGAGAATTGGAAACTGGGCTTTGATACGTTGGCAAAGGATTGGTGTAGGTATGTTGCAATAACTGGCCAGTGAACTCATGATCTTCAAATGGCTCCATAACTTTATCATTTCGAAACCATAAGCTCATAATCAAACCACAGCAAAGAAAAGCATAGCAATGCGTAACAGTTGCCAAAAACCAGAAAATCACAACGAGAACATGAACTTAAGCACAAAACGAACTATTCTGGTTTATTGAGCGATTTATCAACATAACAATCCCAGTTAGTATAGTGGCTAGTATCCGACCCTGTCACGGTTGACACCCGGGTTCAATTCCCGGACTGGGAGCTCCTTTTTTTCCTTTTTTTTCCTTCCCTTTTCCCTTCTGGAGGTTTGCTCTTCATTCTATTTTGTTGTTTTGTGGATTTGAGTTATCCAGACTGATATCTTTCACGCCAATTCCTCTGGAACAAGGCTTCACGTTTATATCCATATTCACTTCTGTCCAAGTCGCCTCGCGTGGTTTATTTTCTTTGATACCTTTTCAACACATTTAAGACCTGGAGGCTGGAGAGCATTCTTACTCTTTTCCTTTTCGACATTAATCTCTCTCGACATCACGCG